TGATATATATATATATACATACATACATACATCCATACATACATCCATACATTACATATAATGTGTTTGTGTGTGTAATTATAAATGTTTTTTAAGCACTACCACAAGATAGTAAAAAAAATAGCGTCTTTGCATGATTTATTCATAATTATAGATCCCGATACGTCTTGTCTTTGCATAATATGCTTAAGATGAGGGCGTATCATATCGCTCTGTGTTATACGTAGTGCGTCTATAGTTAGCGTAAGTCGGATTTGAATTCTCTATGATTAAGCAACAGTTGCTTGGTTAAGGAGTCTGATAAAAGAGGTTTAACTCTAGTACATCTTTTTAGAACAAATTTTATTAACTAACATTTTATATATATTTTAGCTCGTTCGTAACCAGCCTGAGAATGCTAATTTTATCATGGAAAACGCTCTTTGTGTGTTTTGGGACAAGCATAGTAGGTAAGACAGCGCCCTAGTATTATGAACATTTTTACTGTATTTTAATGGCAATTCTAGATGACTTGTCATTTACGTGAGTGCAGTAGTATGGAATGCCAAAAGGACAAACCATGACAAGTCGAGCAGTGCAAAAGGCAATTGGTTGAATTTGCACTGCTCCACTTTAGGTTTGCACGTTCCATATTGCACAACACCACTTTAGTTTTGCATTGAACCAAGTTAATTGTTTGCACTGCGCCACTTTCGTTTTGCACCGCGCCACTTTAGTTTTGCACTACACCACTTCAGTTTTGCACTGCGCCACTCTAGTTTTGCACTGCGACACTTTAGTTTTGCACTGCACTACTTTAGTTTTGCACTGCGCCATTTCAGGTTTGCACTGCGTTACTTTAGGTTTCCACTGCACCATTTTAGTTTTGCACTGCGCCACTTTAGCTTTGCACCGCACCACTTTAGTTTTGCACTGCACCAGTTTTGCATTGCGCCACTTTAGTTTTGCACTGCGACACTTTAGTTTTGCACTGTGACACTTGCCTTTGCCACTGCGCCACTTTAGGTTTGCACTGCGCTACTTGATTTTTGTACTGCCACTTGACTTTTGTAATGCCTCTGCGCCACTTGTGGTTTGTCCTTTTGGCGTTCCATAGACATACTGCGTAGCCATAGGATCAGCACAGTGCTTGTCTAAGCTGCATTCACATCGGATCCGCGTTTCTGATTCGCTGAATCCCGGCACGTTTCCCTATTTTTAGACCTACACACTGATTTGATGTTTTGATCGGTTCGGTTTAGTACCCCGTTCCGCAACCTTTTTTTTGGCCACGACGCAAATTATATGTCAAGCACTCATACACGACCCACTGAACCCGGCAAATTTCTCACCTGAATTTTATGGTAAAATTGTTGAAAGAGCAACTTACTCGTGACAGTGGAGGGGTCGTTCTCTGAATTTTTTTATTTTGTTGAAAAATATATAGTGGTCGGTACTGGTCGCCAGTCTGATCATAGTCGCTCTCACACGTTTCGTAGTCATGAAGCTAAAGTGACCATATCACTTTCCACCAATAAATGACACGAGGTAAATGCTCATATTGGGGGACATTCTACGACGGACGATCGCAGAGCTACGTCGTGATAGTGTGAGAGGGGCTAAAAATTGGAGGGTAGGTCCTACTTCTGGGTGGGATATGACCGTAGAAGTAGGTATGGCCGCACTGCTAAGTCGCGATAATGTGAAAAGTGCAGGCCTACTTTGTTGTTCAATGTATGTGGTGCAGGACCGTAGGCTTTATAATTACCATGTACTGAATTTACAGCAAATGGTCAACATGGGGATGTAGCCGGGATTTTGGAGATAGTTCACCACCATACATCAACTGCAACTGCAACCACACAACCAGTTTCGCCATTATAGCACCAATGGAAAAATATAATGTAAGTTATATTAACTACGGTAGATGGCATCTCAAGAAGGGTTGTATATATATATATAT